CAACGCAAAGGAATACGATAGATCTGATTACGAGAGAAAGAACGCGGGTGAGTCAGAGCGCGAGGGAATCTGAATATGAATGGGTCTGCGCGCGAGTGAATATATTTGCATGAATGCGATCATGGAACCGCCTAGTGTAAGTGTCGAGCATGCCTGTCCGAACACACGTGACACTGGGCGTGGCCGCCGCAGGCAGCTTCCGCGGGAACCCCGACGGCAGCGTCCGCACGTCGCGACGCCCATGTCGGCACGCCTCTTGCGAGGATCGCGCCCGCTTTCGGCTCTTCTTTTCCTTCCTCTTTGCCCGCGCACTCCAAAATCCAAGGCTGCGGGCGCAGCGCAGCGCGGAGTCCCCGCGACGCGCGCTGGTCGCCCCGGGCGGGGTCCCAGCGACGCGCGCGGGTCGTCCGCTGCGCGAAGCAGAGAGAGCTGACTAGCTAACTGGCTGGCTGATAGCGGGCAAGTCTCTGACCGCTGGGCAGAGCGACGACGGGCGAACGAGGCGCCGGGCCCCCCGCAGCACGGAGTTCCCGCGACGCGCGCTGGTCGCCCCGAGAGGGTCCCAGCGACGCGCGCGGGTCGTCCGCGGCGCGAGGCCAAACAATTAGTCGGGCAGTCGAGAGAAGGCGCGGCTCGGGGGAGACGCTCCTCAGGTCAGGCCTCGCGGATGAACTCGGTGAAGCCGAGCTCCCTGGCGAGGGCCGTCGCTTCCCTCCTGCGCCGCTTCGTGCGCGCCGCAAACTGCTCCAGCTGCTTCCGCAAGCCCTGCGGCGGCCCTGCCAGGAAGAACTCGATGCGCGGCGCCCGCATGAGCAGGAGGTCCTCGTGGCGCGTGGCGCGCGAGAGCAGCACGTAGAGCTCCAGCCACCAGTCGTCGTCCTCCTTCTTGCCGTTCCCTACCTCGTGGCGGCCGCAATCCAGGATCACGCCTGGGCGACGTCGACCGAGGGAGCAGCGCGCCGGGCAGCCGACGGCCCAGGGCGAGAGTCCACAGGACCGAGAGATGGTCTGGCCGCGGACTGCTCGCGCCCCGGAGGTCTGGCTGCCCCCGGAGCGCCGTTCCCCCGCCCCGTCGCCTTCGCGCATGGTGCGCCCCTGGCACGCCACCGCGGTGATGACCCTGCCGTGCGAGAAATGCGGGGGGTGTGCCGAAATGGGTGGGGGTGACGCATGCGGGCGGCGGGCACTGGGGCCTTCGGTGGAGCTCCCTATGGAGCCACGAAACGTGTGAGGGGTGTGCCGAAATGGGTGTGGGTGACGCATGCGGCCGCGGCCACTGGGGCCTTCGGTGGAGCTCCCTATGGAGCCACGAAGCGTGTGAGGGGTGTGCCGAAATGGGTGTGGGTGACGCATGCGGCCGCGGGCACTGGGGCCTTCGGTGGAGCTCCCTATGGAGCCACGAAACGTGTGAGGGGTGTGCCGAAATGGGTGTGGGTGACGCATGCGGCCGCGGCCACTGGGGCCTTCGGTGGAGCTCCCTATGGAGCCACGAAACGTGTGAGGGGTGTGCCGAAATGGGTGTGGGTGACGCATGCGGCCGCGGGCACTGGGGCCTTCGGTGGAGCTCCCTATGGAGCCACGAAACGTGTGAGGGGTGTGCCGAAATGGGTGTGGGTGACGCATGCGGCCGCGGGCACTGGGGCCTTCGGTGGAGCTCCCTATGGAGCCACGAAACGTGTGAGGGGTGTGCCGAAATGGGTGTGGGTGACGCATGCGGCCGCGGGCACTGGGGCCTTCGGTGGAGCTCCCTATGGAGCCACGAAACGTGTGAGGGGTGTGCCGAAATGGGTGTGGGTGACGCATGCGGCCGCGGGCACTGGGGCCTTCGGTGGAGCTCCCTATGGAGCCACGAAACGTGTGAGGGGTGTGCCGAAATGGGTGTGGGTGACGCATGCGGCCGCGGGCACTGGGGCCTTCGGTGGAGCTCCCTATGGAGCCACGAAACGTGTGAGGGGTGTGCCGAAATGGGTGTGGGTGACGCATGCGGCCGCGGGCACTGGGGCCTTCGGTGGAGCTCCCTATGGAGCCACGAAACGTGTGAGGGGTGTGCCGAAATGGGTGTGGGTGACGCATGCGGCCGCGGCCACTGGGGCCTTCGGTGGAGCTCCCTATGGAGCCACGAAACGTGTGAGGGGTGTGCCGAAATGGGTGTGGGTGACGCATGCGGCGCGGGCACTGGGGCCTTCGGTGGAGCTCCCTATGGAGCCACGAAACGTGTGAGGGGTGTGCCGAAATGGGTGTGGGTGACGCATGCGGCCGCGGCCACTGGGGCCTTCGGTGGAGCTCCCTATGGAGCCACGAAACGTGTGAGGGGTGTGCCGAAATGGGTGTGGGTGACGCATGCGGCCGCGGGCACTGGGGCCTTCGGTGGAGCTCCCTATGGAGCCACGAAACGTGTGAGGGGTGTGCCGAATTGGGTGTTGATGATGATGATGATGATGATGATGATGGGGGGGGGGAGGAGGCAGCGGGAGGAAGGAAGGAAGGAAGGAAGGAAGGAGAACGCGGGGCACCGTCTCTTCAAAACGAGGACCCAACACCACAGGATGGTTTGGGGGGGAAAAAAAAAAACGCCGAAAGATAGCATTGATATAGAGAGATACCAAGGAAGAAAGAGAGAGAGAGAGAGAGAGAGGGGACGCCCACCGACAGCCGCCCACCGAGAGCCGCCCACCGAAATTGGCCTGCTACTTTCGCCAATCTCCTTGGGGGGGCGCCAACCGAAAGCCGCCCACCGAGAGCCGCCCACCGAAATCGGCCGGCTGTTTCCGCCAATCTCTTCTATATCCGCCAGGACCCCTTCAGTGTGGACACTGATGGGGGAGTGTCCGCTAGGACCCCTTCAGCGTGAACGCTGATTGGGGAACTACCTGGGAGGTCTGAGATCGAGGTGTTTGGGTATAACTTGCTGCCTACGCTGATTGGGGAACTACCTGGGAGGTCTGAGATCGAGGCGTTTGGGTATAACTTGCTGCCTTCTGAGGCCTCGAGGAGCTCTGGTCGCCGCGGCCGGATCCGCCTCGAGGTTCTGGCGCGAACGCATCCCAGGAGGGGTCCAGGGGTCTTCGTCGCCGTCGCCGTCGCAGCTGTCGCCGTCGCCGTCGTCCTCGTGCTCGTGCTCCTCCTCGTCGTCCTCGTGGTCATGGTAGTCCTAATCGTCGTCATGGTCGTGGTCGTGATCCCCGTCGTCGTCGTCGTCATTTTACGTCGTCGTCGTTGTCGTCGTCGTCGTCATGGTCGTCGTCATCTTGGTCGGCCTCCCAGATCACTCCTAGACGCATTCCAAAAAGTCATCACACTCCTTTGATTGCTTCCGCTTCATGCAGACACGCGCGCTCCCAGTGGGGGGAGGAATAAGAGCGAAGGATGTGCAGCTCTGCGTGGGCACACCATCCGCGAACCCACGCAGGGGAGGGCACTGCGCGAGGGGTGGGCAACTCTGGATGATCACCGTCCGCGAGCCTGCTCCTCAAAGGCCTACCCAAAGATCCGACGTCGTGATGTTTGACGACGTGGCTCTCATGAGGTCTGGACCCCCTTCCGCAGCTCCGGCTCTCCATCCCGAGTCGTTCTTTCACGGCCTCGGCGTCAGGTGGAGACTCCAGAAAACCGAAAAGTTCCCAAAGACCTTCCGGCGTGACTTTTCCATGACGAGAATCGGTAGGCGTCAGCCGGGACTCGGCACAAGGACATGCCTCGGGGATTGGCCGAGCTGACGTTCTAGATGGTGAAGACCCCGTCGGGTGCGCACCAAATGCGGGCCTGCCCACCGGGACGGGCCTTCCGAGTGGGGGGGGGGAGGGAAACAATCCGCGAGGGGCGCGTCGGTGCGAACCGCATGCCACAGCAATCCACTGGAGCTTCCTCGGGGGCTACTAAGAGAAAAGCAAGTGTTCATGGGCCGCCCAAAGCATTTACTGTATGTGACCCCACCCACTCGCACCTCAGCTGAGGCTCCACTTGGTGAGGGAAATGCTTGAGAAGCGGGCAGTTTCGGGGGGTACCCAAACCTCAGGCGCATTGGCTTGACTTTTCCATCGCATGAAAGAAATTGCCTGCTGGGTAGGGGCATGTGAAACGGGTGAGCAAATCTTGCCGCACACTCTCTCTCTCTCTCTCCACACACACACACGCCCACATACGGGCACATGCTTTTGTCGCAGACCTGGCCCACGCGCAGGTTAGTCGGGCAGCCAGGCGCCACTGAACAGCACGTTTCTGCGCGGCATGCGATGCGAAAAGGAGACGGGCACCGCATACGGGAATACCCATAGCAGCCATGCGAAAGCGCTGCATCTTGCTGAGCAACTAGGCATGACACATGTGGTATAGGGGAGAAGAGCTGTTGGCTGCATTCTTCGAAAATGCCACCATCCAGTCGGCTTGCATCGGTCCATGGTAGAGTGAGCTGCACGGATACTTGCTGCAGCAAGTTTTCAGCTCGAGTGCTCTCGCAGTACAGCGAGAAGCCGGCTCTTCGATCGCCGAGGTCCTCCGCTGCCCAAGCTGCACCGTCGACCGCTTGCAGCTATCGCACGCGTCGGCATCCGATGCACACGCTGCTGATGCTGTTGCTGCACGCGTGCTGGAGTCACAGCTTCTTGGCTCAGGAGAAGATAAGCAGGCCCTGAGGCTGGTGCCCAGCACGCAACCGCGAGGCTCGTGAGACAGCAGAATCTTCCAGCTGATCCTCTCTCGCCAAGTCTTTCGGGCACCAAGCACCACCATCAGTCGGGGAGACGTAATGCTCGGGTTCGGGGGACTCGCATTGGCCTGACGGGGCCGTCGCGACAACGACGAGGCTCAATCTGAAATTTGGCACCGGCTCCCGCGGCAGACACCGCACGAAAACTGGACCGCCAAAACCCGATGGGCCCGCCACAAAACCATCGGCAGGACAGAGTTCCAGCGAGCCCGCGCCTTACGCTTCCCCGAATCTACCGGCACCCGATGCACCCCTGAGGCCTCGAACCTCCCGGCGCGCCACGCCGCCCTGCTCG